GGATTCACATATTTTTACCCAAAACATTTTGAAGAAAATGCATCTTGGGAGGCTGAAATACATGGGCACAATGCAAGATGACACACTTTTTCCAGGCGTCCGCATAGCATTCAGTCCATGAGCACCGCTTATTTTTTGTGGCGGGAATTTGCTGCACCTCTTTTGGCTGTACCAACAGAGGAAATAAAGAACACTGCAAATGTTAGCTTCTGTAGAGCTTAGACAGTTTCCACTGTGCGTATTAATATTTATTAATTATTTGGTATTTAAACCATTAACATAGGCAGTGAGTAAAGGGTCATTATCTAGCTCAGGGATATCAAACTCCAGTCCTCGAGGGCCACCGTCCTGCACTTTTTAGATCCAATACACCAGAATAAAATGGTTGAATTGCTTCTTTAATATGTTTATAAGTTCTCCAGTGTCCTGCTAATGACCTAATAATTAGATTCTAGTGTGGCGCACTGGAGTTTGACATCTGTGTTAGCAATGTTACCTTGCAAGGCCTTTCTGCATAGAGTTTGCTTTTTTGGTCTTTCAAAATTACCAGTAGGTCCAAGTGTGTGTGCGTGTGTGTGCGTGCGTGTGTGTGTGTGTGTGTGTGTGTGTAGTTGGTTGTCCTTTGTGTGTCTGAGTTGCCTTGTGATGGACTGGCAACCTGTGCAGAGTTTATCTCACTCAGTGACTGCTGAAGGTTAACTCAAGCCTCCTTAGAGGAACCAAGTGTCGAAAATTGATGGATATAGTCATTCTGTCCCCTTTAATGCAGTTACATAATTTCCTGAGGTTTTATAAAACAGCTGTAAAAAGCTGTGGTCAAAATACTATGGGAACTTACTACAACTGTCCATGTGGTTTAGTTCAAAACAATTAATTTCAACCTGATCCACTGCAGCTTCCGTTGCATCTTTGGAGACAAGTCCAACAGCAACTGTATTTTGGTAAAATAAATAAATAAATACCGTGGTAATAATACTAACTTCAGTCATGTCACTTCAAGGATTACCTTAATATGCGATGTCATGATTTCTACACGGCAAGAAATCAAAGATGGAGGTACGGTGTTTAAAAATGTTTAATTTGTCGCTGGAAACTCCATGACAGGCAGCCGGCACAACAGTAACACTTAATTATCAATAATTATAATTAAATGTCAAATACAACAGAGATTAATTTAAGGAAATTCATTTCAGTTACATTTATTTATAGACTCAATCAAAACATTACAAAATGAACAAGTTCAGGTCATTTTTAATTGTGCAGCACTCAATTGGCTCCCAGTGTCACATCGTTCTTATTTATCGTTTCTGATTAACGCACTTCCTGCTTGGCCTGTGTCCGTGGACGACCATGTCTTGGTAGGTTTGCAGTCGTGCCATTCTCTATGAGCTGAACAGTGCTCGCTCCACATATTGCTTGGCTACTGTCAAGGCCGGAACAGAATTGAAAATGTTTCTTCAGATGTGCGATAGTTATCTGGAAGCTGATCGATGATGAATAAGATAATTATGCAAGTAACTGTTCACACTCTTTGACGGGGTTTCCTACAAAACTTTTTTCTTTCGCCAACACTGGCCACACTCTCTCCACCCACGCTCTGCAGTGGTGATCCCGCTCCACGTCATCTCTTCGTCAACCTCCTGTGCTTAACTGTGACCATTTTTTATTTTTTTTTATTTTTTTTATTTTTTTATTTTTTTTTCGAAATTATCGTCAGCGGCGTTGAATCGAGATACATCACAAGTTGGAAACAATTTCAAAATCAGCTTTGAGGTAATGGTTGCTGTGGGTTCGTAGCTGAGCTGCGTTCATATGTGAGAAGAAAATGCAAATTACTTTGCATTAACACTTGCAAAGTAATTTCCTTTTTCTGACAAACTTTCTATGTTTACAGTCACTCACACGGCAGCTCAGCAAAGTCTTTCTCCTGTCATTAGTGTGTTTAATGTTCTCACTGACATGAGATGCACCACATTTAAATTTCCCTGATGTCACTCAGCATGAATGAATGGATTGTAATGAGTACACTATGAGATTGAGGTTATACTGCATGAGGGTTGTGTTTTTTTTTTTTTAACAACTCTTAGAGGAAAAGTTTCCAATAAAGTCATTAGCAAAGAATAAAACTCCTGTCCGATCACAACAGCAACCGATCCATCAACGGATCTTCATATATTAATATATTATATTAGGATTGTTTTCAACAAATGGAGCTAAAGTATTTGTGCATGCCTGTTGGCTTTAACACTTGTTTCGGTGGTTTCCGGCTCTCTTCCAATCTCTTTCTTCATTTTTTTTTATATTATTATTGGCATACTGATAACATGTAACTTGCATTCTCAAAAAAAAAAAAAGTGTGATTTGGTTTCCATTCGTGAACAAAGTGACATCAGAATCAGACTTCCTTCTTGCTTCTTCTTCTATATATAGCGTAAGGGCAGACTCAGATCATTTCAACGCTCACCCTTCATACAACAGCAAAAAAGAACTGCTGAGAAACAGAGAAAGGCATCGCTGCAGAATGATGAAATGCATATTTGTCGTGGTCCTGCTGCAGGTCTGCTACTGCTTTCCTACAAATACGACCCCGACCAGCTATACTCCAGACTTTAACCTGAACAATGAGATTTTAAATGAGCTGGGGAAACTCAAGAAGAGTGTCCCGCACAACATAGTAAGTATAAAAGATGATTAATGTTTAATTTACTACTTCACTAGTATGACTCTGTTTAGCTAATTAATCACTTATGTTATTTCTTTCTCCTCACAACCAAAGTCCATTTCTGTTCCTGGAGAGTACATGTTCAATAATAATGTAAGTTTCACATCTTTTCTGCATTTTGTTTTGCTTTTACTAGTCAGAATGAAACTTTGTTGTCTTTGCTATAAGCAATTTTGATGTGTGTCTTCTCATAAAGCCAATATTTTGCTTCTTCTATAGGCCAAATGTGTGGCTGCCTTCAGCAAAGGGCTGAAACGTGTTCTTGGGTATCTGGCACAGACAGGCATAGTGCAGACTAATATTGGACTTGACTCAAAGTTGGACTTGCTAGAAAAACAAGGACAGGTAAATGTAAAAAGGAAACTATTTAAGACACAATGCTACTTTTTAAAATGTAGTCCCCAAAGCTGATACCCAAATTAATTCAACCTCTCTTTTTCTTCTACAGAAAAACAACAAGTGCACAATGACCACACGAAAGAAGAACCCTTTCAAAATATACATTGACTTCATCAAGCAGCTAAACACCAGCAGATGAAGATACACCTCTGATTTCTGCAAGGCAACTCAAGAGTTTTGGATATTTACTATTTATTAGTTGTTATTGTCATTTTTTAAAATTTATTTATTCACGTCAGTTTTCCTGATGTATTTATTTCAAATTCGTATTTATTTGAGTTTGCAGGTAATGTCGTTTTATGCAAACATTTGTAATTTCAACTGAATATTTCAGTTCAACGGAGATGTGATGCTGCTTTGAAAAATAAATTTCCTACTTTCATAAGACACTTCTTTGGTTCGATTCATGTCGCCGGATTATAATCATTGTGAGCTTTTCTTGCGTTTTACCTTCATTTATCAGCCTTGTGAGTCTTTTAATTAATGACACAAACTCGAACGAGTTAAAGTAACTTTACACGTCAACATGTTCAGAGTATTTATTTTAGTGGTGGCACTTGATAAAAATTTTTTAATGGAGTTAATTGGAGGGTCTGTAATTAATTATTCCCAATTAATTCTGCTTCAATCAAAAACTGTACATCAACAAATCAGCAACATTTTCAATTCAAAAACCCTTTTTTGCTGCTAAATTATGGTTTAAATAGACGTGAGGTCAACGACAAAGATGTTCGTTGTTTCTAACCGTCAGATTGGTCTAAAGTGCTATTCATTTCACCCAATCAGCTTTCAAGAGTTTCAGTGTTTCAGCCTGGCGATAGCGTTGGGGACATAAGTCCTCACTGCAACATACTTATCATTGAGATGACATTTTATTCTTTGGCGATAGGCTAACTCCTTCTTGCGCAATGTGCACACAATAATACACTGCTCAAAAAAATAAAGGGAACACTCAAATAACACATCCTAGATCTGAATGAATGAAATATTCTCATTGAATACTTTGTTCTGTACAAAGTTGAATGTGCTGACAACAAAATCACACAAAAATCATCAATGGAAATCAAATTTATTAACCAATGGAGGCCTGGATTTGGAGCCACACACAAAATTAAAGTGAAATGTTCCCTTTATTTTTTTGAGCAGTATAGTATTTTCCAGCAGCCCATTAGATCACTTTTTGAAACAAATATAAACCCACCAAGGGCCAAGAGAAGCAGCTTTGTCATCCATCGCTGCTGTTTGTGTATCCAATCTGGATTTGTACTTTTCCGTGCTAGAAAAGTACAAAACCAGAGACTCTGGCAGGAACTTTTGTATTTGTATCTATGTAACTATTTAACGTATTAAGGTCCCAGACATAATTTATTTTTTTATCACAGTCTCCTAGACAAAGAATTGGGGGTAGGATCATCCTTTTAGTACCATTTCAAACTCATAGTGGAACTTTACATTTCTGAAATGTAGGCACAAAAAGTGTCTCTCTATGGGCGTCATATGTTGTACACAAAAATAAATTGAGGAAGAATCTAACGGTCTGTAAACTTTTTTTATGGCCCGGATTTAATTGACCGTTTGCTTCTTTTTTTTTTAAGCGACAAAGAACAAACGGATCAAAATGACAGGATCGGCATGAAGGAACTGCCTGCACGCTGCATGAACTGAACTTGAAAACTCTATAACGGGACATTTAAGTCACAGTGTGAACAAACGTTGCAAGAATATAAAAAAAACAAGCCCTTTCTTGATGTAACGCAGCAATTTGTGCTGTCAAACCTGTTGGAACTAAAGCCGTTTGTGTTCCTAGAAAAACTTGCATTTTACAGAAAAACTAGACTGAGACTTTGGAAATTCAATTGATCGAAATAACAAGCATTAACGAATTTTCTCAACGTAAGCCCCGAAGAAGACTCGCAGATAGATCGGAACGATCTCTTACCTGTTCATCGTCAAGGCATTGCATCCAGAGCCCAGATAGGAAATGTTTGTGAGACGTCTGTACAAAATGCTGCAGGCCATACTTATTCTGCAGCAGAGGTTTGATAATGCCTTGTAGGTGATGGTAACGTTTGATAAGAAGCTCATAGATCCACACCTTTTATTCAACCTGAGCGCAGAAGAAGAACTGAAAGTAGCAGAGAGCAACAGTTATCTGCGTTTGTCATCAAATGAAAACAAAGCGACTTTTTCATATGCTAACACAAAGACTACCCAAGCCTGCAACTATCCATGACAGACATACACAAGTCAGTTATCATTTTTCTTAAAGTAATGAGAGCTGGTGTGCTGTGGTAGCGCAGGGGTTAAGCACAACCCACATATGGAGGCCTCAGTCCTCAATGCGGCTGTTGCAGGTTCGATTCCCGGCCTGGTGACATTTGCCTCATGTCTTCACACTTCTCTTGTTACCTGCCCCTCAGAGGCAATACTTTAGAGAACATGAACATGTTTCTGTCAATCTATTGATCTCTTGTTGGAAGATGAACCTCTGCCTCAGTCTGAAATGTTTTGCAGTCTCTGTTGCTTTGTCAGGATTGATTTTCCTTTTAACTCTGTCCCTGTGGAAGAACACCATCTCCACACACACAACAATACTGCCACCACCATGTTTCAGACTGGAGATTGTTAAGCATTTTGACTGTAGACGAGAAAGTTCAGTTTCAGTCTCATCTGACTAGAGCACACTCTTATAAGTTGAAATGTTTTAACTGGGAATTATGACGGTGGTCTTTCTTCTTGCCATGTTCCCATAAAGCCCAGATTTGGGAGATGCATGAATAGTCAGCCTATCATTTTATTTCCATTCATCTGTACAGGCGGACAGCTGTGTGTCGGTAGGTTTTCAGCTTTACAATTATTCTTTTCTACCGCCCCTTCAGTCAGAATGTCCTATTGCTCGGAAATACTACACTATGTAAACATTTAACACCCTCAGTGAGAGAATCCTCGAGTTTGGTTGCTTTTAAACAGTATCTCACTCTGTGACTTTATAGAAAATACTTTCATTTGTAGCTACTTATATATGCAATATTGAAATGTAATGTATTTATTGGACTTACTTGTGTTCATGATTGTTTTATTACAAATGTTCTGGCATTCAAAAGCATGTGTTTATGTTTTTGAATGTTGAGATGAGAGATTGTAATATCCAAATGTTTTGGTTTGTTTTGATGTCAGTCTGCCAAGAAGCTGCAGAAGGAATTTAGCTTTTAGCTGGACACTGTTATATTTTCATGTGAACATCCATCAATATGCAGTGTCACAGCATACAAGGAAATATTTAGCAAGTTTAAATAATACATTTAAACCAAGCTGCTCTGGTGTTTAAGATGCTGCTTGTTCACTGATGTTATCTATTAAACTAATGAGGTGAACTGATATTTATATAGAGATTAACTTTCACACAGCTTCCTCCTACACAACTTGCAATAATTATGTAGTAATTAGCTGATCGCTGAAGGCAGTTTCACTAGCTACATACACTAAATACACTAAAGTTTCTGGTTGTAACGTGACAAATTGTGGGGAAGTTTAAAGCGTATACGAGTGATTTCTTGCAAGGCGTTCTGTATGAAAAGGAAAAAAAAAAACACCAACTGCGGAGCATCTCTGTGCGGTGTGAAAGTTGGAATCAGTAACACAGAGGCAGCTGCACCTTTGAACACAGAAAAGCAGCAGCGCTCTAAAATATAGGGCGGCATTGCATTTCAACTCTGAGACCTTTCCACTCTCAGCCCCGCCCAGCCTGCTGTGTTTTTCATGTTCCTGCAGCCAGGCAGCACTCAGAGAACAGTCCCAGTGAATTACCGTGATGGACCAAAGGGACAAACTCCTGCAAAGAGATGCAGGAAGGAGTGGTTTTTTTTTTGTTTTTTTTAAACGACCGCACTACCCAAAACCACCAATACGCCTCGTTAAATATTCATGACTTGAAACAGTCATGAGTCATTTCAGTTTAAGATTATTAATGATTGGTAAAGAGGTTGGCTGCGTTGCACCAATCGGCGATGTGCCGTTGCCCATCTAGCAGAGGGCATATTTGTGGAGGAAATGGGTTAATGCTGTTCCACTTCCTTCTGTCAGAAATATTCACATCAGCGCAAGGTGACGGCTGACATGCCATGACATGGTTTTGCATCCCTCTGCATCTTTCATGCGGCACACTCAGGGACCACAGTGCAGCGTGAGAGACACCAGGGCTGAGCATGATTACGTTTTACGGTTGAAGTGATACAGTCTAATTTTTTTTTCTCTACAAGCTCTACATGATTTATCACTCAGATGACCTCTGCACATGACAAGTCTGGCAGTAAACCTGTCTGACTTAAATTGTGACTGAAAGGCGCGCTGCTGTGTAATTGCCAGCTTCCTCCGTTAGGTGGAGTCATTGAGCCGATTTTGAACCTGAAGCTTGACCCTTGTCCTGGTTTTATCACCTGTCTTTGTTTCATTAAGCTCCTCCAAAGCGCAGCCCGAACCGGGTCAGTTGACAAGGAAAACACGGCTTAATTATGATGCCTTTAACAGCCGCTATTCACAGGTAGGACCCAAGAGGAGATTACCTGTCGCAGAGAGACTGCTCAGGGAAATGCCACAGTCATGTGCCTTTCCTTCCTACAGTGAGCAGGCAGCGCTTTTTACTGAATGGGAGCATCATGTGAAACTTGAGGCGTCTGGCGTAAGGATTTCTGCGTGGACGCCGCACGTACTCTGGCTGCAGCAGGACGCAGCGAGAGGGACATTTCATTCCTGTGGTGTCTGTCTTCAGTGTAGGGTTTTTTTTTGTGTGTGTGTGTGTGTGTGTGGTTGTGTTTTGCTTTGAATCAGCACATAGAGTAATGTAAACATGGAGGACATAATTCGGGACGTTGTTTGGTTTGTGTTGGTGAGATATGGAGACCGGACGCGCTCTGGATGGACCCTGCGCGGTGAAGTTTGCGTGGAAGCGGTGAGACATTTGTTTTTATGGGTCATGTCAAAAGACCCTAGCATCTGAGCGAAGAGAGCAGTCAGTGTATTAGGATGTAAAGCAGCGAGAGGATGATATATTACTCTGGCATGTTTGAAAAAAGTCAGGAACGATCTGTTTTAAATCGGAAAGATAAGAAATAAAAAAATAAATAAATGCATAATTAAAAAAATATATACTTTTATTAAAAAATAATCCAACACTAATGCACATATTTTTGTTTTGTTTTTGTTGGTTCGTTCACTTAAATTGTTTATCTGCAAAGCGGTTTGTAAGTTCAGCTTGTAAAGTGAATTTCTGTTGACCAGATTAATTTCCATAAAGGGTCAGATAATCAACTATGACTGATGCTGAGGGTCAGGACCCCCAGCCAACATGTGTATTTGGGCCCCATAAGGATTTCTGCATGGGCTTGAATGGGTCATAAGACGGCCTTGACCCACAATGGGCTTCTTATATACAGTTAAGCCAAAAATTATTCATTCCCCTGGTAAATTTAGATTTAAAAATATTTTTAATTCAACCAAGAAAGTTGTTTCTGATAAGACGTGACACTGAAATCTTAAAAGAATAAAAGTGTTAGTTTATAACCTTGACTGTAATTTGGTGCATTTATCTTTACCTTCTCAGCAAGTAAAATAAAAATGAATAAATAAAGTGAAAAAGATGACCGGTTTTGTATCAAAGTATTTTCTGTTTTTATTGAGATTGTATTTTAAATATGGCATATTAAATATGATGCATACCCTTTTCTGTGATTAGTTGGTAAATCTTTACTGGCATTAAACCTTTTTTTATAATTGTTGACCAACTTTCCTCAAAGCTTCAGTATGTAACTTTTATTAAAATATGTTTTTTTTATCTGCTTTTTAAAACTGCTACTATATCAAGACTGCAAAAATAAAAAATCAAGCCCTTCTGCCTCCTCTCTGTGTTCCTACTGCCATTTGCAGAAATATGCAGCTCAGAAACAACCAATCAGAGCTAGGACGAGTGTCTTACCGCTGTCAGTCACCCTTGTGTACACGTTGCTCAATGTGCCAATGGCAGCGAAACAACTTATCGTTCCAGGAAAACCGTTTATCCGCCATCATCGGTGGCCATGCTAACAGTCAAGTGCATTCATGACAGACTTCCCTTTGGAGAAGGAGTGGGGGAGGGAGTGAGCAGCATGAACAGAAGGGTGATTGACAACGCTAAGACCTTCTTTATGGGTCTCATTGTCGTTTCTGACTGAGCAGTGTCTTTCTGCAGATGGCAGTAGGACTATAGGGAGACCTACATATTAACCTATCAAACCAGTTTAACAAATACATACACAATATATATATTTTTTAGAAAAAAGTTACTAACTGTAGCTTTAATTTTTAGAGGTGTGTTTGTGGAAATTCTGCACCATTCTTCCAGAAGCAGTTTTTTTTTTTGTTAGAATGCATTTTTATTTTTCAGGTCAGACATTGAATTTGGACAGGAGGACTGTCACTATTACACTCTCGTAATGGTGTGAAATAGAGTGGAGGCCATGAGCCAGGAAAGCCTGGCTCATGGCCTCCACTCTATTTCACACCAAACATATTTTATCTGGTTGAGGTCAGTGCTATGTGAAGGCCAGCCAGGTTCTTCCATGTCAAACTTGCTCATCCATGTCTTTATGGGCCTTTACCTAGCGCATTGGTGTGCAGTCATGTCGAAACAGATGGGGGCCATCCCCAAGCTGCTCCCACAAAGGTGGGCGCATGAAAAATGGTCAAAATGTCTTCCCCGATGTTGCAGGAGTTACTACTAGTGAAACGTGTGTATCGAGGAGGGCTGCAGAATGCATTGCAAATTCGTGATTATCACAATATTACGATCGCAAAAATTTGTTCGGAGAGCAGTAAAGATCGGCTAAATCAACAACTACTATGCACTCAGACTACCCATGTCAACAATAAATTAGGTAATGCTTGTTTAACAAGAAATATGTCATAAGTGCACTCAGTTGTTTTAATTAAGTGATGGAAAACAACAACAAAGTTGTTTCATGGACAAAACAGCAGATGTGGCCAGTTCCAACGTTTTAATAGAACGGTAGAGATGGAGATTAGGAATTTGTTTTGTTTTGGGATTTTTTGTTTTGTTTTTTGCTGTCTATTGAAGCTACAATTTTTTTCTTGAGCTAATCTGAACATCTCATGATATTTGAATACCAGTAGCTGTTAATTCAGCAGAAAGTCAATGAACTCTGCACACTACACACTGGAGCATCCCGTGAACTTACGTATACCGTTGAATTTTTACGGCGCCTACCAGTTTCTGGCTCAGTTGCTTTCATTTCCACCCATTTTCACTTTGTTAAAATTGCACAAGCATTAAAGGAAATTTCATAACTGGATTTATTGCACATGTCATGCTCTCAAGGTGTCGCACTGGATTTCACTGAGCTCCTGAGAGAGACGATTTATTTACAAATGTTTGCGGAAACAGTCTGCATGACCTAGGTGCTTAATTTTGTACACATGTGACCGTGGAAGGGGCTGGGACACCGAAATCAGTGAATTGGAAGGATGACCCAATATTTTGGACAATAAAACATATATTTAGCATAAGGATAATCCTGAGTGAGCACTATTTTTTTTAAACCCACTTCCTACTTGCATGGGCCCAAACATTTACTGTGTGTGAATGTTGCCAAGATTATTGGTTCAAATGGATTCTAAAAATATGTATTCAAAATAAAGTGATAAAGATTTTGCAGGCTGCTGGTAGTCATTGTGAAACTAGAACATAAAAGTAAAATATTTCTGTAGATATTTGTCTTTTAGACAACTATCAAATGGTTTTGTCTGCCACTGTATGTTCAGCCTGATTAGTTTAATTGACTGTTCTCCACAAACAGAGCGACTTTACATCTGACTTCAGCAAATGAATGCAGAGTTGAGCTGCGTGATATTAGGAAATTGGATTAGGCTGTTATTGCTTCCATCACTCTGCAATTTGACCATCATTTGTTAGTTGTGACCATCTCTTGCAATGAGACGCCATCCAGCGCTCAGAACGTCTTGTTCGTATGCAAAGCGAGTGCTAACAGGAAACAACAACAAACAAATATTGCATTCTGGACAGCTGTTTGTGATAATATTGATGCACTCACTGATATTGAGGTGATAATATTTAGAGGTCTGTGTATTATTAAAACACATTTGTCAATTTCTTTTCATACCATGAATCTCTCATTGATGCACACAAGGTGCTAACTTACACATTCAGATGGCAGCAATTACCTTCAAAATAGGGTTTTCTTTTTTTTTTTTTTCTTTTACAGCAATTTCTTAGCAGCCACTGAATATCCAGTCTGGGATATCTAAATGGAAGAATGTTGCCTGTGGGATGTAAAATACCATCTGCAGTTCAAATGAAGTGTAGTCTAATTTACAGGATCAGGGGCAAAAGTCTGTTCCAGATCACATTTGCCTCAAACATCTCATCTTTCATATCGCGGCAATGACAATGATGGAGATTTGTTTTCCTTTTTGCTTGCAGGATCGACAACAGACATCTTGTGCTATTCATCCCAGAGGAGATGTAGCAAGACTCTTCAGTATGACATAGACCTCAGTCCCCCTCTCGCCTACTCATCTTCAGGGATGGATTTCGTGAACTTCACGACCGTCATCGACAATGGCTTCTTAGACGAGATGCCGTCGAGCCGCGTGCTGACCGGCTGCTTCCTCTCGCTGCTCATCCTCACCACGCTGCTGGGGAACACGCTGGTCTGCGCTGCCGTCACCAAGTTTCGTCACCTGCGCTCCAAAGTCACCAACTTCTTCGTGATCTCGTTGGCCGTGAGCGACCTCTTGGTGGCCATCTTGGTGATGCCGTGGAAGGCGGTGACGGAGATCGCGGGCTTCTGGCCGTTCGGCTCCTTCTGTGACACCTGGGTGGCTTTTGACATCATGTGCTCGACCGCGTCCATTTTGAACCTCTGCGTGATAAGCCTGGACCGCTACTGGGCCATCTCCAGCCCCTTTCGCTATGAGAGGAAGATGACACCCAAAGTGGCCTATGTTATGATCAGCGTGGCCTGGACGTTATCTGTCCTCATTTCTTTTATCCCTGTGCAGCTGAACTGGCACAAAGCCCAGAGTAAACCTTACAAGCCGCTCACTGAGGCATTAGTGTCACTGGGATCAAACACTACATCTCTCCGCACTTCTGAAAATTGTGACTCCAGCCTGAACAGGACCTACGCCATCTCCACCTCACTCATAAGCTTCTACATCCCCGTTGCCATAATGGTCGCCACGTACACGCAGATTTACCGCATTGCTCACAGACAAATCAGGAGGATCTCTGCCCTCGAGCGTGCCGCAGAGAGTGCCAAGAACAGACACAACAGCGTGGGCCGAGGCTCCAGCATCGCAGAGTCCGAGAGCTCTTTCAAAATGACATTCAAGAGGGAGACAAAAGTGCTGAAGACGCTGTCGGTGATAATGGGGGTGTTTGTGTGCTGCTGGCTGCCATTTTTCATCCTAAACTGCATGGTACCCTTCTGCGAGCAGTCAAGCGGAGGAGAGGCCTTCACTTGCATAAGTCCCACCACCTTTGACGTATTTGTGTGGTTCGGCTGGGCTAACTCCTCCCTCAACCCCATCATCTATGCCTTCAATGCCGATTTCCGCAAGGCCTTCTCCATCCTGCTGGGCTGCCACAGACTGTATCCAGGAGGCCACAACGTAGAGACGGCCAGTCTAAACAAGAAGTGACTCATGACTCTCCCGGCCCTGACTCATCCCTTTATTCTAGGAGTCCAGGAGCTTAATGTGCATCCGGACTGGCTGAGAAGAGGACGCTGCTGTCTGCGCTTCTGAGCTAACGCTTAGTGTGACTGAATGGTACTGTGACACTGTGTGCACATGTTTGCATCGGGTGAGTGTGACCCTGCTGTGTTTTCTGTGGCTGTTACACAACCTTCCGAAGTGAGAATCATGTCTGGGAGCAGAGTGGATTTGGGATTGAGATTAAGATGGTGCTGGTTGGGCCAGGGGTCTGAGCGTGTACCGGTCCTGACATGGCTCCAGGATGGATAATCCACAGGATCGGGCAGCATGCACTGTGTCAGACGCTGCTGTCCTCCTTGACATCACTCTCGACAGTAGTACACAGTGTCATGGCGACCTCCGCCAAATAAAGCGCAATCGCTGCACAACTCGTGCACTTTACCAAATCACATGACAGCTCACACATCTACTGGTGCGCGCGATTAAAATTGTCTGCAAAGAGTGAGGTCATGCATCTAACCAAATCACATTTTGGTATAGGTTGCAGGAACACAATACACCCAAAAGTGACTTAATATTACAGACAGAATGCAAAACAGAGTGGATGAGATGCATTTATGTTTTCTGTGACGGCTGTTTAAAGGGAAACTGTGCTCCTAATTTATTTTGAAAGTAACATTAAGCTGTGATGATGTACTATAGCCTAGTAGGATCTTCCTTTACCTCGGCCAGTTGTTAGATTATTATAAATAGATATGATAATAATGCATAACACGTTAAAGCTTGAAGTGAAAGTGCACCAAAAATTGCCTTGTGGCCGGACAATTTTCAACTTAATCAACCAGTCTTTTTCCAATCGGTGAAACTACATACCAACAGTTCAAGGTCTCTGTACTGATAACACTCTTCAAAGTAGAAACTATTACCGCAGGAAATAGAGTCAAGACTAACTCAAATTTGTCTATTTTCTCTATTAGTTATATGTTTTAAACATCTACTGAAAATTTGAAAACATTTTCCCAAATTTGAGATTTCTCTCTGTTTTATGTGGGCCTTTTTTTTTTTTTTTTTTTTGTCCATTATCAGAAAAGCTGAACAGTGTCCTACAAAATTGCTGTGTTTTACAATTTGGCTGTTTCTGCATCTGTCTTACATGCTGGAATTAGAAATGTTGGCCGGCTTGGACAAATCGCAGACGGGTCGCCTCTTCCCGTGAAAGTTGTTTTGCTGCTACTAGTGCTGATGAGACACACATCAGTACTAGAATAATGGATTGAAACTTTTCAATATTACCTCAGATCATCTCTAAATGATTGAAGCTTTGACAAAATTGGATGTTCCAACAGACCAGTAAGCCTAGGAACACATCCAAACTGGTTTTGGAGTGGATGGAACAGGTCTAACAATCTTCTGGTTTTCCAAAGGCCCAGAGCTAAGAGTAAGAGTATTCCTGCCAGAAAATCACCAAATTAAAATTAACTCTATCAAAAAGAGTGGACAATTTGCTGCTAAATCTACTACAGAAGCTTCTGCAATTTTGTGGATTAAAGAACATTTGGGCACCAAGTTGCTTAAACAGATTGTTGTCAACAGAAACTATCATGACATCCATGATGTATGAGTGAATGTAATCTTGTGGTTGGAACTACATTATGTTGTGCATGATGTTGGGTTTTAGGCAAAGAAACCGAATAACTTTGTCTGCACAACAGGATATATACTGGATTAGTGCTCATTTAATGAATATCCACACTAATTTCCTGCTACGATTACACTTTGTGAACTTTTGTTTTACTGTGCAGGCAAGTCAGATTCGCTTTTTTTTTTTTTTTAAAGTTTGTCTTATGAGATGAAATGAAAAAGCCACAGATTACATCAATGAGCTGTTTGAAGCTGAGGAAAGTACAGAAGCAGCAGAAGTAAAGCCTTCAAAATTGTCTAAATCCTGTACCAGGGGAAAACTGCAATTTGTTGCTTTCCATTCTAAGAAAGAATATATACTTTTGTCTCACAATAAGTGCAGATAATAGGTCATTACTTCTTCTTGAGTAGCAGTGAACTTATTTTTTACAACAAACAATAACAAAAGATGACCAGTTTGAATAGATTAGAAAAATTAAAAAACTTTTTTTTATTTATCTATTTATCTTTTTTGGTTTAACTATTCCTCCCTCTTGGAGATTATACATTCACAAACTGTAAAAAATGAGCATGTTGCTATTTGTAAAAGGAAATAAAAAGCACGTAATTAGAAGAAGGATTTTTCGAGTGGATGAATTTTGTCGACAATCTGCAGTTTCTGTCTGACATCCATCCAAAATCATGACTTTTAGTTCAAAATGTGATTCTAACTTCAGCCCATTTTTAAACTGAGCGTTACCAAATGCATTCAGAGTTGCACACTGAAACCCCGTTTTAATGTATTATGCATTGTTGGTTGTTTTCTAGTTTTACTTCTCAGTTTAGACTTGGAAGGAGTTCATTCTAGTCCTGTAACAAAGATAGAGACGTTTCGCATTTCTCCCAAGTGTCTCTTTGCATTAGAGCCCAAGCAGATGTTTAGTGAACTTGTTGATGCGAAGGTTATTTTTCATCAGATCCACTGTGTTGTGTGTTTTTTGGCTTGTTCAGCTTTGAACCCTTTACATCAAAAGCCCTGGGGCTAACTTCACACCAGCGCGCGAGGAGTAAAACCTAATGGGAGCAGCTGTGTTTCATATCTACCATCTCATATAATTCTGGTGTTCTTGTGTCTGTCGAATCTGGCGATGTATCGCCATCATTAGCAAAGTGAAGTGTCCCACCTGGTCCTGTGAACAGCTGGCAATAATAAAGCGGTGCAACTACTGTGGCACCTCTGGATCTGTTGGCTGAGTGTGATTTTATTGTTCCACTAATACTTCGCTCTCACACTTAAAAAAATTAAAAAAATATGACGGATAAGCCTGGATTTTAGAACGTGGACGCTCCCCTCTCCTTGTTTACCTACTGTGCTGAAAAAGGGAAGTGAAGGTGATAATAAAGCTGTGGGTAAAGACTGTGCTGTTATTTATTCACATCCTTGACAGAGGAAATTAAATGGTGTACCTGGAGTGTGACGGCAGAGTAGAGCAGTGGCATTTGGTTGTAAAGATTTTTTATTTGTTTTAGGAAGAATTATTGTAGTGCTCTCTTTTTGTCATGAGCTACACTAAATTACCTTAATAATCAATTTAAGGGGGTTACAGCGGCTTGCAAAGCATCTTAATCTTTTTCACATTTTTCTCACATTAAGACCACAAACTTTAATGGATTTTATTAGGAATTTCAAGATAGACAAGCAAAAACATAAGTTGTGGATTTTGTGAAGCAGCAAAAAAAAAAAAAAGAAGCAATATTCATATTTTTCAAACGTCCTAAAAAGGACAAATCTTGAAAATGAGAGTTTCAACCATAATTTTTCATACATCCAATGAAAAAAAAAAACAAAACAAAACACATAGACCTTTTTTCTTACTGTCTGAAATTAAATTATATGTAGTTTAACACTATGAAGCTGAAAACTACCAAATACCGAGCTGAATGAGAAAACTGTTGATGTTAATTCAATATTTGGAAGCGTGGTCGACCAATGTAGTTTGCCTGTAGCTAAAACTACAGGCAAAGTACATTATAACTACAACTTGAAAATTGACGTCATAACTTCTTCTGTCCGCTGATTGGCCCAGAGGCATCCGGGTCAATGGAGGAATTACGCAGAAGATTGTGGCCAGGCTAAATTAGACTAAACTTATCTTGTTCTATGATTGCAATGGTTCTTCCAAAGCCCTCTTTGTTGTTGTCGTTTTAATTTTTAATTTGTGCTACGCCCTTTGCAGTTTTTAATGGTGGATTCCTGCCTCACTTTGCATATTTTATAGTTGAAAAGACCTTTGAAAACAATGTATCACCTTCCTTTACAATTATACACCATTATATATTGGTTCATCACATCAAAAAAATACCAGAAAAATACATTGAAGTGTGTAGTTGAGATGTAATAAAAAAAATATTTATATATATAAATACTTGTGCAAGATACTACATGCATGTCAAAGTGTAGGATTTTACAACCACAAGAGTCTAAATCTGATTAATTATAAAAGTGAAACTGGTGTTTTGTCAAATAATCGTCACTGCCTTAACAAAACAACTCCAAAATAATCTCAGTTCAAAAAAGATGTACGTTGTTTTTACAGAGTGAAGCTAATCCTCGTCATTAGGATATCAGAAGCGTGTCAATGGCGCTTTCCCTCACGCGGAAAACGCACCAGCACAGTTGTGCTTTAAAGTCATCAGGACTCGGACTGTCCTTGCCTCTGAAATCTCCTCAAGCATGCCACAGGAAGGGAAGAGCAATTAATTTGACTGACATCACTCAGAATGATGGCCATGATGGCGATAAGACTGAGCATGTGCGCATGTGTGGGTGAATATCAGTCTGTGTGTGTGTGTGTGGGTGTGCGTGCGTGTGTGTGTGTGTGTGTGTGTGTGTGTGTGTGTGTTGGAGCCACAGAGCCTCCATCACCTGCTCCGTCATCCTTACAATGTCTTTCACATGTTGCAACAACATGAAGAGTTCCTTTTCCCTTCTTCTTTTTTTTTTTTTTGTTTTTTGGTTTTGTAAAATGGTTCAAGTAGTGTGCTTGGATTGGCACATCAGAAGAACCGATATCAGATGAGGCATCCTTAGACGATGTTAATGACATGCCCGAGGAAATGATTTACTCAGACACGGAGGAAGAAACAAAAGCGTAACGGAGACAGGCACGGTCTTACGTAAGAATCAGGCGATGGCAGAATAAAATAAAACAATAATAATAATAAAAAAGAGCTAGCGATGAAGCTTTGTAAGCACCAAATTATACTGGAAGTGTCACACTTCTAATTATTGAATTGTCACAGTTTCACTTGTTTACTACAGCCCCACATTTTGCTCCAGGTGAGATTACTTTCTCACCTTCTTTCTCCTCAGCTCAGGATCTCGGGGAATTAAAATGCAATTAAAGCTGTCTGTAGCTATCTGCACTGCTCTCCTATAAATATGTATAACTGACAACAGGCTGAGCTACCGTAATTACACCTGAGTCAGAGGCATTTTTAATGCATAACCCACACCAAGATGCTCATAATTGAAAGTGAAAGTGTTGGTTACTCGACTCAAACCGCATCAACACAGTTTAGGTCTGATAGATTTGTTTATATTGTTTTTTTGTTTTTTTTTCCCTGCCTGCTCCTAACGCAGAAATGAACAGATGTTCCTCAAAAAAACAAACAAAAAAAACTCTATAACAGCAAACACAAATTCCTTCTTCGAGGGGGGGCGTTTCCCTGGAAACCACAGCATAAATTAAACAAACATGTGAACTCATATCTGATCTCAACAGCGCGCTATTGTATCCTTTTTAAAAATAGCCACACAAGCCATGGCCGGCACTTGCACTGCAAATCTTTTGACCTTTTGTGTCCATCATTTGCGGCGAGCCCCCCCCCTTCACTGCTCTTCCTCGTTTACTCCTGCTCTTCATTTTTCGTTCCTAGCCCTGCCTTTTCGCACTCCTTCTCCTTCCTCACTCCGTTTACAGCTTTGAGCCGGGGGGGCTTCGTGCAGCGTTGTGTTGCTATTCATCACTCCAAGTGGCTCCAGTGGAGAGGACAGACCATGCAAGCCACCCCCGTCTCCCTTGACCTCACCACTGGGGAAGAAGCAAACAGAACGAGGAGAAAGGGAAGGAAGAGTCACAAAGGAGACTTGGTTGAAACAAGAGATTATGAGATGGAGGAGGAAAAACACGCTAGAAGCTTCTTGACTCTTAGTGACAAATCGAGACGTTTGCTTCACACGAAACTCCTAATGAGATCCAATGGATGGGTTGGTGAGGTTTGGAGACTGATTTAGCTGCTATACAGCCACACTGACTGACTGAATGATGAGGTTTCCGAATTGGTCATCGGCTGTTAACGTCTCTTTCAGGCAAAACTCTCATACTAGACGAAAAGTTTCTTTTTTGTTTTTAACGCCACCTTTCTGGCCAGTGTGGTAAATCAGAATTGTAGTCTGAGTGTCAAGTTAAATCCCAACAGATTTACTTTCAGCATAATCCTCCACTTGATATGTTTATAAAACTTTATTAGAAATTCATCTGGGTTCATTTCAAATGTGATGAAGGCAGAAACTAAAAAGAACGGAGGAAAGAAAAGGAGAAAGGTGGGGAAAAGGTTTTAAAGGAAGAGAGACAGGAGTAGAGAAGAGAAAGAGGCATAGAGAGAAAACAAATGGACACGCTTGAAGTCTGCCTCTAAACCTGCAGAAAGAGGAAAAAACAAAACCAAGAAACCACAACAGACCACATGTACACACACACACACATATATATATATATATATATATATATATATATATATATATATATATATATATATATATATATATATATATATATATATATATGTAACATTTGTGACATCGTTGCAAAAGTACACAATACATGATTATGCGAGATATATTTAGTGGCAACCGCAACCCCACTGAGAGCATCTCACAGACACCTGAATCTGGACACCTGTGGCAGCAAATCTTAAACGCACACATGACACGCACCCACATGCACACGCTCATTCGGTGTTTTTCCCCTTTTACTCTATGCAGACGTGTTATTCTCGCAGAAGCACCAACATGCATAGTGATGCGGCTGAGTGTGCTCCTGGCGGACACTTCAGCACGTGGCTGGGTTCCAGATTGGACACCCAATCTCTCGTCGAGGACATTAGTGAAGCAGTCTATTATACAGCCATGAGCACATCAGGCCCAATCTGCTTTGCACAAGAACCCATTACCTTGTTACTTCCTTCCATTATGTATTAATAATTGCTTAGCGTCTGTGTAAAGGCCTTTTTTTCCCCCTCTTTTCTCACATACTGTATTTCTGGATGTTTTTCTTAATGGCCAAACTGCACAAGGAATATATTAAAGGAAAATTCTTAGTCGTGACCATAAGGGTTTATCGTCCCAAATTATTTAAGAAAGACTAGTATGTTGTGTTCATTGTACAGTTTGTGTTAAAAAATAAATAAAAATGCATATCGTTTACATAAGTTGTGTTTGGAAGACTGAGTTTTGTCAGAGTATAGCCACAAGCTCCTGAGGAGGTCAGTAAGATTCTTGGTTGTCCATTTTCAGAAAAAGTCCAGGGGAAAGCTCGAGCCTTTCAGAGGAGACACAAGGTCAGCTCTGGGTAGGTTAATGTAGATTTCACAATAGAAGATGTAAGGAACAATTATCTAATCAATGGAGGTTTCGTCATTGGATGACGGGTGACATAACAAACATATCAATGCATTTACATGCTGCTCTAAAATCACATTATTTTCTTTTTCCTTTATTGCTAATTTAACCCAAATCTAAACTATCCTTACAACAGAGAACTTGTTGCCTGGTTTTTGTTGCTATTGAGCTATTTCATCTTTTCATGTCAGGAGCACAAAGTGTCCACGTCTTTTGCTAAGCAGATCCGTTGTTAAGTCTATGAAAGTCCGTCCCTGTGTCTCCGAGCCCCGGAGATAACAAGTGTGGTGTTTTCCTCTGGTTAAACAAACAAAAACAAAAAAACAAGCTCTTTTTAGCACCGTGATGTTTCTGCGCGTCTTAGAAGAGAATCGAAGAGGAGCGAAGAATCAATAGAGTGGTTTCGGTGCAGATACGAGGTAAGCTCCAGGTAGGAGATTCAACAGCAAAAAGAAAAAAGGAGTAAATCACAAGATTTCACCACTGTCTGAGAAGAGACAGCAACAAATCTTCAACAGCCACAGTCTTGTGTTTTCTACATTTGTCAAACTAGAGGTAT